GACTCATCAAGTGAATAGAGAGTTATTGCAAGTTCACTTAAGGTCAGTCACTATTAGTGCCGCTCTTATTTTGACATCTGAGCATGCGTAGATCACTAACTTTAATAAAGATTATGCCTGTCCATAATAAGAGAGTTATTGCAAGTTCACTTAGGGTCAGTCACTATTAGTGCCGCTCTTATTTTGACATCTAAGCATGCGCAGATGTTTATGTTCTAAAACTGACTTTATTAAGGATTGTGCCTGTCCTTAGTGGATGTTTAAGGGCAGCAGGTAGTGGCGACTTTATAGCTTTAGGATGCGCTCGTCATTTAAACCTTCTAAAATTATAATTTCTAATGCCTCTTTAATATTAGGTAGTATTATAAAATTTATTTGACTCTAATTACGATGTCACTATTAGTGGCTGGCTTTATAGAAATTTGCAATATCTCTCTATTAAGGACAGGCACAATCTTTATTAAAGTTAGTGATCTGCGCATGCTCAGATGTCAAAATAAGAGCGGCACTAATAGTGACTGACCATAAGTGAACTTGCAATAACTCTCTAATATATTGATTTAGAGACTTCACGTTTCCTGATCTTGAAGCATATCTATGTTATAATCATATTAGTAAAGAAGGAGTAGGGTCTGGCGGCGCGGCGTTGAGATCACCCAATTAATATTGCCAGAAACTAAACCACCAAAAAAAGCTCAAAAGCGTGCAAGACTGCAAAAACGCAAGCAAAACCGGATTTTAAAGTGATGAAAATATTGAATTTACCAAGTTCTTGATATGTTACCACCAAAAAATCACAAAAAAACAAAAAATTGGCGCTAGCCAACCGAATTTTTTTTTAGGCAGTTAAATTACAATTAAGTTTAAAATAGTAACAAAAAAATTAATAATACAAACAAATAATAATAATTTGTTTGTATTATTAATCAAGGGGATATGCCCAACCGTGCGCTCATCAGAGTCTTAAAAGGGATTAAAATAAGGTTTGCCTATTATTTACGTTCCACAAACCGGGCGGCACAGGTAAAATTCTTAATGAAACCAAACCTTTTAACTACCGGCTCTTTCAAATCACAGATTTTGTTTGAGCCACCTGTACTGTAAAATTCCCATAAAATTTTAATTTATTACTTCGTGTCAATTGCGAGTCTACTATAGTCAAAGTTAGTGTTAAAAATATAATTCTCTTCCTTTTTTTGATATAGTTCAATGCCTGTTGCGGTATTAGCCAAAGTAATAGTTATTTTCCGAAGGGAAACTGTTGCTCATATTATTTTACCTTAAGAATTTCTGATTTTTATTTATTTTACGTTTTGGTCACATTTGAGTATGAAATTACTTTCCATTTATAAAAAAAAGTTGGGAAATCCAAAGAAGCAATAATTGGCATTTGTTAGTATTGAGTAGTTTAGGTCAAGGTTATATAACGAGGCGCAAGCAGAGCAGAGAAACTACACACGCGGAAGTGCATCAGCTTCCGCTTTCGTTGTGAAACAAGCGGTAAATCTATGCACCCTCTTCTCAGATTCAACTACGCTGCTACGCTCTGTTTACGGTTTGCTGCCTACAACCCTCACTTTCAGATTACACAGCATAATTCTCTCTTTCTGTATGTATAATCTCATTTCTTTTTTCGCATTTGACAAACTATAGTGACATCTTCGATGGGAACGGATAGAGGATAGCGGATCGATTTCTATTTAGCTTCGGGATATTTTTCGAACGATCCACATGCGGAAAAAAGTCACACTTCACACTTGAATCATCGGCGTCGGTTGTTATTTGAATAATGTTAAACCAACCGAACAAATCAGGACGCCTGTAATAGGTGTACCTACTAGAACATCAATACCTATGTCGTGTCAAATTTAAAAATTCCGCGAATTGGGTATCAAATAGAAATAATAAATTTTTACCACATTATACAGTGTAATAAAGTCTGATATCTCCAGCACTATTAGATATTTTAATATAAACGAGTATATTTAAAAAAAACAAATTTACCGAATTACCTAGGCAGCATTATTTTCGAAAATAACGAGCCATAGAAAAAAATCATAATAAAATTGGAGTTAGCTGTGATATTTCAATGTTTTAGGTTGATCTTCTCAGCCACTTCCACAGAATGATATTTTAAACCTTGAAATTGAAAATGAACGTTTGTGTCAAATTTATCAAAACTTAATTAAAAACCCTGTACTTATAAATTGATTTTTGGGTTCTGGTAAAGGATCCTGAGGTGCGAATTTCATAATTTTAGCATTAATATATTAAAGTAACTTACTTTTTATAATATTTTAACTGAAATTAAATATGGAAGAATACGTTTCATTTGCTATTTTTATTTATATTATAATAAAATGCAATATTTTGACTGATTTAACCTAACTTTTCATTATTTCCTTCCATAAAACTATGGAGGGTAGAGGAAAGGAGAACAATCTCTGTATACAAAAAGTGTCCCTCAAAGTGTATACAATTAAGATGGCGCTTCTGTGCCCAGGGGACGTCGACAGTCGATAATTCAGATCACACAATGACACCAATGATGTATATAGTAATACATATTGCTCAACCATAAAAAACTAAAAACTACACCGTGAAAAGTGACTGATCGTAGAAGAGTAAGTGTTCTGTGATCGTAGATAAATTTTGACAATACACGACAATAGTCAAATTTTATTGAAAAATAATAATATAAACAATAAATAATTCTTATATTAAAATGGCACGAAGGTCTCAATTTACTGCTTCCTGTCTGATTTCATTATGAATGAGCAATCTATATGACTATATAGCATTGGATTTTGTCCCCTGGCTACACGAGCGCCATCTTAATTGTATACATTTTGGTGGCCACTTTTTAATATAAAGATCCGTATAAGATTGTCATATTTTTCTCTACCCTCCATACATAAAACCTAAAGTGATTCATGAAATTGTCAGTTCTTGACACATAAGGTCCTCAAGTTTGCAACGTTGCCATACTATATTGTTGATATTTATCACTGATAATTTCCAAGTTTAAGATTTCTGTTTGAATGAGAAGAAAATAAGTTATAGGTGAAAATATAATGTGTTATGTGAGACTTTTCATTTCAATTTGAGCTGTGTCCAGGCCGTTGGAGTCTATGCTGGTAGGCGAAGTAGGCGTAGCCAGGTATGGATTAAAATTTTTTGGTGGCGGCGAAGCCGCCACCCTACGAAAAGTCGTTCTTCCGTTTTGAGTGACAGAAAATTTAAAAAAGTTGTCTAGGTATTACATGTTAAGTGATTTAATTAATTTCATTTTTTAATTTTGTATGTAGTTTTTTTGAGCTGCATTTTTAAAATTAATTTGATTGATATATTAATTTTTTCATTTTATATACGATTATTACCGTACTTATCTTTTTGAAGCAAACGAAAAATGTATGATTATAAATTTAAATAATCCTTAAACTTATAATTTTATTAACAACGTTTGTTATTTTTAAGACAGAAACGTCAGAAACCAGTGTTGCCGATTTGCGTATAATTATACGATTTTCGTATATTCTGACTTATCAGCGTATTTTTTTCTAACTCTTTAAAATTCCGTATAATTTCCGGTACATTCTGGGAAAAACTATAGATCTTTTTGGATTTCCATTTATATTAGAAATAAGTTTATTTGGACAAGTTAGTTGTTTCAGTGTGTCTTCTGCTCTACTTTTATTAAACAGTGGCTGACTGGTAGTTGGCTGCTTATTCTAGAGAAGACCACACTCCATGTCATTGACCAATGAAAACAGGCTCGGAGCCGGGATTCACCGAACCGATATTGTTCATATTGTTGAAATGCACTTTGCTTTAAAACTTTTGGCTTTTTGCAGTCTGTCTGAACGAATCTGCTTTGCTACATTTATCTGTCGGCAGTGCCCCATCTCACAAACCTAAAGCCGAACCTGGCAGCAACACAAATTTGATATTTTCAAATGCAAAGATGTGGTTACAAAACAAAATCTACAAATGCGTATCTTTTGTACCCAGCCACCGAATAATTTCAAATTTGCGTATTGGCAACACTGTCAGAAACTGTCATTTAGACTTTAGAGTAATTGTTTTGTGATTATAACCTGTAAAATTGGGATTTTTAATTCAATTTTTTTCGAAAAATACTGCTTGATCCATAAATTTGTTTTCGAATATTTACTATAGAAACTAGTTACTTTTGAGTGTTGAAAAAATTTTTGTGAATTTCGCACCTCAGGATCCTTTACCGGGCCCTTTTTAGTATGTAATAATTTTAGAACCGTTTTAAGAAATGTTAATTTTACATCCGACATGCATCCGACAATATGACCAGTTTTCGAGATACAGGGTGTTAAAATGGAAAATTGCTGATTCTATAGTTATTTTTCTTCAAACTGAACAGCTAAATTGACTTTATGTAGCATAATATATTAGTCTATTATAAGTTTTGGTCAGATGTTCATAAAAAGGGACAGTTTAAAATATTTACTGTTACAGGAATAAATAACAATATATATTTGCAATCAATTCGCAAGTTAGTATCTACCCGTTCACAATTTTAAGGTTAAAAGACTTCGCTTCGTGTACTTTTTATACAGGGTGAGCCATGCAGCCAACCACCAAAAATAAATATGTTTTGAAATTATTAAAATGAAACCTTACATTTCTTTAGTGACTTTCAAATAAGTTAATAACATTACATTAGGTATGTAACCATAATATTTTAAAATATGCAGGGAAGTTTAACGGTTTTATAATTAGTTGAGCTTTAGAGATTTTAAATGTAAATAAAAGTTTTTTAGTATGTTATAGGTAATTAAAAAAATGACTTCAGGAAAATTAATTAATGTATTATAACAATAACAATCTAGGAGAAAAGGGAAAGAGTTCAATAATTTTTTTTTACATGTAAACGACCTATATTTTATTGTATTAGTTGATTTGATGGCTTTTTCGATTTTTCAAAATAACTAGGTAGGTATACCTAAATAATAAAAATCACTTACGCTTGGAATATTATCATTTGTGCAGACTCCTTCTTGAAGTAACCTGTCTCTGATTTCCCAGGCAAATATAGAAGGACACTCGCGTTTATAGGAAGATATTTTAGAAACTACTTCTTGGGTCGCCACCCGAGGTTTTGAACCTCCAATTGCACGTGGTCGAATCGATCCCGTTTCGTAATACCTGGAACAATTAACGGCATTTAAAAATTCTAAAAATTAAGTGAAAAACCCATAGTCGATTTTTAATGTCTACAGGAAAGTACTACTCACACACCTTTAATATGCTATTGAGGGAGTCAAAGTAAGAATTTTGTTCAATTAAAACTATACAGGATGATACGGAAAGTTAAGATCAAAGTTATAAGAGTAAATGAAATAAATTGTTAAAAGTACGCGGTTTTTACAGAAAATTTCCTTTGGGGTTAACTGACGCTCTATTTGAACCTACAAGTGATTTGCTTTCAGGCATATTATGAATGGTATTTGTACCTAACTTACGCTAGAAAATAAATATATTTTTATGTCTAGCAATCGAGATATTTGATTTTCTCTTTGGGGTTGATAAACACCCTATTTGAACATGCAAGTCGTTCTGTTTTACATATATTAAAAATGGTATTTGCACCAATCTTCTGCTAAAAAAAAAAATATATTATGTAAAAGTTAGATTTTTGCACTTACGACGTTGTTATTTTGTACAATTTCTTAAAATGATATTAATAATAATAATAATATTTAACTGAAATTAAACTTAAATTTCACTTGTGGCTTACGAGATTGCAGTTACATCTCCATTCGATGTTAAAGTCCCGCAATCTGAAAAGAACTAAAACTTATTCGATAAAAAAGTAAAATGTGAATATATTGAAGTACCTGCCAAGTATCTTGGAGACGCATCCATTCGAAACTTGTAGAATTCTGGATATATCACAGGGTCTAGCTCCGGAGTGCGCTAACTCGACAATCTTCTGTCTGGTGGAGTCGGGCAAGGGACGCCCGCTGACGAACACCCCCCCTAGCTGGTTCACACCGCTATGCCCTGTCCACAGTTATACTGTTATATAAAATTCTTTCTTTACCGTTAAGTAACACGTAAAATACATTTTTTTGGCGATTTTTATAAAATACATGCAGATATGTCGTTAAAGTGCGATATTCCAAATAAAAACAAGCTTCCAAAAACAGGAAAATATGCATTAGAAACGAAACTAGATAGGAAAATCGACGTCTTTTTTATAATAAAATAAAATATTTGTCGCCTCTACTGCCAAGAGAATGACGTTTTCGTGTTGAACTGTAGATTTAAACGTGTCTAATATGCATATAAATTGCTATCATACCTACTGAAGGCATTTGAAAAATATATTCAATATAGATACCTACTTATTATTCTAAAAATATCCAAATTAGTTTCAGTTCGTTGAAAAGTTATCAAGCCTGACTGAACATTGATTTGAACACAATTTTTTAGTCACTGAAGGTCATTAAATAAAATTTACATTGTTTATTTTTTTAAAGAATGCTTATTTTGGTTTTGCTGCACAAATATACCTATTTCAAATGAAGATAATATAAAAAATATGAAATTGAAAGAAGATTTTAAATTGCAATTTGGAGAGAAAACTACAAATAGTTACATGCAACAAATTATTTAGAAACCAAAAGAACTGACTTGTAATGGAATATTGTATGGTTAAAATTGTTAGAAAAAAATGTATATAGAATCATTTATATAGTTTAAAATAAATAAAAGTAGGTGGTGGTACATATAAGATGATGATGATGAAATAATGTATATTACATGTTACTTATGTGTTAAGCATCCAATAAAAATTGATGGCTGGTTCAGATTCAAAGTATTCAATGAATATCAATTTATTGCTATAAAATTACTGAAATAATTTTTGTAACCGGAGTTTGATTGTTAGAGGTATTTCAAAATTACACAGTGCCAGATAAGGATGTGCAAATGTAGGCCATTAATGCAATTTTTTCAATATCTGCTCTCTACTGAGAGATTTCGGCAAGCTCCCCTCAATAAGTCTTAGATTCCAGCCCCTATCCTGTAGTTACTTACCCTTTCCTAATTTAACTCTCCATAAAAAAAATTTAATATTTCTAAAATACATAATTTTATTTTAGTAAATGCTGAACCAGCCATAAATAATTGTATGATTATAGTACAACTGTGCACATAACATTAGTAGTGTACTAACAAGCTACGAGACAAGTCTCGTCAACAGAACTACCTCGCGCGAAACGAGGACACGTTCGATGCCTGTCAATTTCAAATAACATTCTAACAACAAAAAAACACTATTTTTAATTGACGATTTCTATAGAATACAGTGTGTTCCTATTTTAAAAGTAGGTTAACATAAGACGGAAAGTTCCTGTAAACATATATCAAAAATTGCCTTTGAAGAGAACCCTCTGAAAATGGTTTTCTAGCGATATTTTGTAAACCGGTGTCGAAAACTGGATCATTTTTTTAAGGGCATTTTGCTTAAAAATTACGAATTCGATAAAACAATGATATTGGAGACAGTCCGACAACAGCGCGATGCCAAGTACTTTATTTAGCTTAAAAAGTTCGAAAAATGGCAAAGTCGGAATTCCGGAGCGTTCAGGCGACGCGACGGAAACTTTGTGAGGTTATGCCTATGAATTTATAGTAATGTCTGCCGAAATATTTAAAAAAAAATGTAAACATCTATTAATTATCCATTAGCTATCTTAGTATCTGTTCATAAGTCCTTTAGTACTTGCCACTTGCACTAGCAAATGATAAAAGCGCAGTCAATGAAATCTGAAATCCAACAGATTGACTGTTTTAACTGTTTTAAGGACTGCAAAAGTTGAATGATTTCGAAAATAAAATGAAGTGGACTCACCAAATATAGACTCAGTTGCCTCACAAGCAGATATTTTCACAAATAGTTTTATTTTTTTATACTTTTTTCAATAAAACTAAGAATTAAGTTTCCCATATAGTTCCGACTTAATTGGACACACTGTATATTTATTAGAACTTTCTGCCTTATTTTCACTTGTGTAATACGCTGTTAAAACATTTACCTCTAATTTTGGACACCGTGTAATAGCAAAATTTGATATTAAAAAGATAAGATTTCAGCTAAATAGGATAAGAGACCGTTTATATAAAAAATAAAATAAGTATCAGCTTGAACGACGCCATGAAGTTATCAATAATGTAAAATTTATTTTATTTTTTCTTATCCGATTACCTGTACATGCGATACTATTGCAAGTAATAGAACTGAGCGTGTTTTTGTTGCTATTATAATGTTAGTTGGCACTACATCGTACGGGTCCTCATTTGTTGGGTTTCAACTTCTCTCCTCAAATACCTGCAAAAAAAAACAAACGTTTATCCATTCACAAATAATGATAAATTTAGAAAATATTTCTAATAAAATACAAAATTGCTTAACTTAGATTTCTAAGTTTGATATAAATCGATATAATTACACTTTCTAGATGGTAAAGCAATGTAAAGATTCATTGTGGCGTTCCTCAAGGATCTCATTTAGAACCAATGTTATTTCTATATAAATCACTGTTTGGTGTGTGATTTTAAATTAATTTTATTATTAGTGTTACGTTTTAATTACCATGGTTCATTTTATTAAAATACATTAGAAATATAGGATGTCAATTTAAAAACTTCCAATTGGTAATATCTCCTAATAAAAAAGAATATAAAAAATTGATTGTTAAATAATTATGTAAATAATCTTTGTAACAAAATGGTAGTTATGTATTTATTGTGTACTAGCTGACCCGACAGACTTCATACTGCCTCAATTGATAAATAAAAGACCTAAACTTTTGTATAAAATAATTTTAAAACAAACAAAACGAATCCGTATTAAATAAAAAAGCATTTTTTGAATGAAACATGAAATGTTATTATTATTTTCGACACATCATGTTGCTTACATACAAAACAGAGTTTTCCTGAAATACTGGCTATTTAGGTATAAGGTTTAAATTTGATATTGACAGACACACACTGTTATGATACAGTCTTAGATTATACAAACCTTAGATGGAACATAAGACACTGCGCATAATCCTATTTCGAAATGTTTCACACCCGCCAATCACAGTTGAGAACATCACATGTCAGAGCGTTGTCCATTCAAATTTAATGTGTCAACGAGAATTAATTTGGTATTTTAGTGACTTAAATTTTGGAAATTAACGTTGAAAATGCCAAGATGTGTTGGAAAAAGCTTTATTCATAATAAAAGTGCGAAATGTTACGGATATAAAAGAAACTTACATTTATTTCGGTGAGATATTTAATTTTTAAAGATTCTGTCGACGTCCATATTTGTTGATTTGAAAATAAACAGAATTGGACTTGGTCATTGGTACATGTTATAATAAATTTGGTGTCATCGGCATCGACTGCTAAAGTCATTAGCCTCGTGTTCTGTGTAGGTTTTGTTACTGTTTCCCAGCGCCACTTCAGGAACAGCACTGTTAATTAGAACCCAACAGTGAATGGTCGAGTGGGGAATCCTACCAAGGCATCAGAATTAATTTTAAATAATTAAATTAAATAAAAAAATCCCGGCCAACGCAACGGTGGGATTCGAACCTGGGACCCTTGGATCCACAGGCAGAGACTCTACCACTGAGCCACCCACCCCCAAGGTTATTATTATAAACTGTTTACTTGTTTCATGGGGAATCTTTTTTTAGGAAGTGGAATGAGTAACATACAATCAAATACAAAAATATCAATTTCATTGCCAATTTATTAGTTTCAAACTTCACAACTGGTCTCAATAGTTTTTCAAAACTATTTATTTAGTATTTCTATATAACAGTGCTACTCAAAGTGTGCTCCGGGGAGCCCTTGGGCTTCGCAAAGCCTTTGTGAGGGCTCCGCTAAGAAAATAATCATAATTAAAAAAAAAACAGTACTATCGCCACAAAATGGAGGGACCTGGCTTGAGGACCTTTTTTGAGAAGTAATTTTTTAAGTCACTAAGAGGAAGGAGGATATGACTTTTTTTATTTTATTTTTTATGAGTGAAATGGATTTGGGACAATCCTTTCAAGGAATCTTTGGAATTATTCAAAAATAAATTAACAACAAATGATCGTAGATGCATCAAATGTGCCATGATATGTCATGTTTTTGAAAAAAATATTGAGCTTCTGTTTGGCATACCTTATCAAAGTCCGAACAAAAATATTCCCAAATTGAAAGAGGGGGCCTTGCAATAATTTTTAGCTTAAATAAATTTAATGAATATTTATATGGACATTTCTGTATCCTAGTTACAGATCATTTACCTCAGGTAACTATTTTTAACCCAGCTAAAGGTATACCCCAAAAAAGTTTGAGAAACACTGCTCTCTAATAATATCTATAATAATATCCATTTATTTACATTTTATTTTCTCTAATTTTGACATATAATAATATCCATTTAATTTACATTTTGTTATTTTCTCTAATTTTGACATATAAAGTAATATATTTTGTAATCGCAGCAAGTGTCAAAACGATCTACTTTATTCAACCAGTTGCATAAAGTAGAACATTATGCAACTGATTACGAAAAGTTGATTATGTCACCAGTTACGAAATGAAAATAAATCTGGCTCTTTTTTGGTTTTTAAATCGAAAAATCGAAAAATCCATAAAACGAAAAATCGAAAAAACCAAAAATTGAAAAAAGGGCAATGAATAATGACTTTTCACATATGAAAATATGACATTACGTTTAACAACAAAAAAGAAAAGCTGTAAATTGCGTTTTATTTTTTAAATAATTGAACACCGTTATTGAAAACTGCCCAGAAATGTTGGGGGTAAAATTTTGACGAACTCCTTTAAGGATAATGGGTAAAAACCTTTTTTTTCAAATTTCTCACGGGTAATGTTAAAAATCAGATCGGCAACACTGCACATGTCCCTTATTTTTATTATAACTATTGAAAAAAAAAAAACGTCGTAGGGCAATCAAACACAATAATTTTGTGAAATATTTGATT